ACCTGCTGGGCTCAGGCGATCCTTCTGCCTCAGTCTTCCAAGTAGCTAGAACTACAGGTGTGCACTACTATGCCCAGCTAATTTTTTATTTATTGAAGAGATGAGGTCTCACCAAGTTGCCCGGGTTGTTCTCGAACCTATGGGCTCAGGCAATCCCCTCGCCTCAGCCTCCCAAAGTGCTGGGATTATAGGATGTGCCACCGAGCCCGGCCTAACCTAGGAATTTTTTAACTGACCTGAATATTGCCCTATTATTCCTATTTAAAAGCTATATATTCGCTTTTTCTTTATTCTAGGTTGGCTATCTTTGAGGAGTTTCTAAGAGAATGACTCAGCTATTTCTCCCAGTTTAATAGTGATTGGAAAACAGGGAGGGGGATAAGACTTGAGTAACTTTTCCTCTTGTATGCTACTCATTTTTTTCTTTCTCAGCTTTTCTTTGATGTTTTGAGACAGGGTCCTGCTATGTTTGCCTAGGCAGGTCTTGAACTCCTGGGCACAAGCGATTCTCCCACCTCAGTCTCCTGAGTAGCTGGGACTACGGGCATGAGTCACCAAGGCCTGGCTTCTTTTGTGTGTGTGTGTATGTGTGTGTGTGTGTGTGTGGTTTTTTAGTAGGTACCTCTATGTAGAGAGAGATGAGCAGAATTATTTAAAAGTTGTGGTGGGAACTTATTCTGAGTTGATTATACAACTGACCAGAGACTCCTCATTTTTCCCAGAGTGAGAGACTACACCCTCAAGTTTCCATGGGCCCCAAGGTCTCCAATTGCTGGGCATCTAGTTTCCCCACACAACTGTTACAATCACTTGGCATCTGAATGCAGATTACTTGGTGCCTAAGTAGTTTGAACTCCACTAATAAGATTGTTCTCACATGTTCCCTAGAATAAAGGAGGGCAGGATCCTTTTCCTAAGCACAGACCCACAATGTCACTGGCATAGACAGGTCCATGGCATTTCTTTCTACTCCTCAGTTAATAACTTTTCCCAGTAAAGTGTATTCTTTTACCCAAACTGTGTGATGGTGTCACTGTAGAACTCACCCATCGCTATCTCGGAGGATGGCCCTAAGTTAATCTTTATTTGTCAAATGAAAATTTCTCTTTATTTAGCAATCAGGTGTAAGGTTTTAAGAATGTGATGTGTCTGAAAGAGTTTTGCTAACTGTTTCAGGACAAGGTAGGAATTTTTTTTTTTTTTTTTTGAGTTGGAGTCTCACTCTGTCTCCCAGGCTGGAGTGCAGTGGCACGCTCATGGCAACCGCAGTCTCGACTGCAGGGCTCAGGTGATCCTTCTGCCTCAGCCTTCCAAGTAGCTGGAACTGATAGGCATGTGCTACCATGCCTGGCTAATTTTTTATTTATTGTAGAGATGAGGTCTTGCCATGTTACTCAAGCTGGTCTCGAACCTTCTGCCTTAGGTGAGCCTTCTGCCTTAGGTGAGCCTTCTGCCTTAGGCTTCCAAGTAGCTAGAACTACAGGCACGCCCCATACACCTGGCTAAGGGTAGGGATTTTTATTTTTATTTATTTATTTATTTTTAAAAGTTGGAGTCTCACTCTGTCACCCAGGCTGGAATGCAGTGGCACATTCACGGCCACCCCAACGTCCGACCTGCTGGGCTCTAGTGATCCTTCCGCCTCAGCCTTCCAAGTAGCCAGAACTACAAGCATATGCTACCGTGCCCGGCTCATTTTTGATTTATTGTAGAAACACGGTCTCACCAAGTTGCCCAGGCTTGAACCCGCGGGCTCAGGCAATCCACTCACCTCAGCTTCCCAAAGTGCTGGAACTACAGGTTGAGCCACCGAGTTCAGTGGAGATTTTTAAAACAACTGAATAAACACTGGAGGACTTGATGCTGTGCAGTATCTGGGTCTCAGCCCAGGTGAAGAGCAGCTAACTGTCCCTCTAACTTGCTCCCTCCTTCAACAAACAATGCACAGGTTTTGGGACATAAAGGCTAGAATTAAAAGTCCCCACTCATCTAGTGTCGTGTGAACTTGCCAGGCAAGTTCAATTTCCAACTCAGTTCTTCAAAAAATAATAAAAGGCCAGGCACGGTGGCTCATACCTGTAATCCCAGCACTTTGGGAGGCAGAGGAGAGAGGATTGCCGAGTCCAGGGGTTCAGAACAAGCCTGGGCAACTTGGCGAGACCTTGTCTCTACAATAAATCAAAAAATTAGCTGGATGTTGTAGCGCACATCTGTGGTTCCAGCTACTGGAAAGGCTGAGGCAGAAGGATCGCCTGAGCCCAGCAGGTCAAGGCTGCGGTGGCCATGAACATGGCACTGAACTCCAGCCTGGGCAACAGAGTGAGACTCCTACTCCAGTAATACTACTAATAAATAATAATAAGAGCTATTTCTTTATCTGAATCAAATTTAATTTACCTTTGAGCCGCCCTTCTCCTAAGGTGCATCCTCTCCACCCCTTGCCAAGATTATCAACCAAAGGTCCAGGGAGGTGTCTTAGGCATCACCAAAGGACAAGAGAGACCACATGTTACTGATGGGGTCCCCATGGTTTAGCCCACCTGGTCCATGTTTCTGGGTTAACATGGTTGAGCATCTTTCTAGGTCTGGGAGCTAGTCTTCCTATAAGCACTGGCTAGTCATAATCCACTCGTCTTCCACCTTCCCGTCCAGAGGACAGGACCTACCAGCCTCTGTCCTCATCGGTGTTTGAAGTACCCCATCTGCTCCAATATCTCCTTTTCCTCTTCCCTCCAGAACATCTAGAATAAGATTAAAGCAACATGATCAACTTTTCACATATTCATTCCTTTTTCTTCTATTTTCTCTTCCTTTTCGTACTCTTTCCATTCCCTATCTCTTACCTTGGCTGAACAAGTTGGGTTTACGATTTGTTTCAGTGAGTATGCACACCAGGGGGAACCATGGGAATGTCTCAGGAAGAAGGTATTAGAAAGGACTTGTGGCGGGTTCAGTGGCTCAGCCTGTAATCCCACGCCTTTGGGAGACTGAGGTGAGTGAATTGCCTGAGCCCGCGGGTTCGAGACCCGCCTGGGCAACTTGGCGAGACCTCATCTCTACAATAAATAAAAAATTAGCCAGGCGTGGTAGCGCGCGCCTGTAGTTCCAACTACTCGGAAGGCTGAGGCGGAAGGATCGCCGGACCCCAGCAGGTCGAGGCAGCGGTAGCCGGGAGCGGCCACTGCACTCCAGTCTGGGCAACAGAGTAAGACTCCAACTCAGAAAAAAAAACCAAAAAAAATCAAATAAAATCTACAACATATAAATAGTTTAAAAGATTGACATACATTAAAAAAAAAGATAAAAAAAAAAGAAAGGACTTGTTATAGGTGTTAGGTGATTTACGGAAGGGGTCAAGGAAGAGGGACTTTGGTCTGCATTGACACTGTAAGGAAGGAGGATAAATCTATAATTGAGCATTTTAATAAGGATTATCTAGGTGAAAGGAAGACTAGATGAGGCTAAAATCACTGGGAAAGGAGCAGCAGGCGTTCATATTAGCTAGCATAGGGAGATGCTTGGTTATTTTCTCAGTTTGGACAATGTTTGTGTTTTGTCTGTGTTCAAACATGATTATAGAGTGATCTTATTTTTGTCTTGATCTATCTGGCCTTGTCTGGTGTTGATGTTCTCTGAAATTATGTTCAACAGAAGAAAACTAAGGCTTAGTTGTAATTGCCAGACCAGCCTGTAGCAACAAAAAGCTAAGCTGGTAGTACCAGGCCAGCTCCTGGATGTCAGGGTCTGCTTTTCTCTTTCTCAGTATCCATACAGAAACTCTCAACTTACTCTCTCCCTCTTCACTCAGCCAAAATCCAGCCTTCCCTTCTTTGTGGCACCACCATCCACACATGTGCTCATCCCAAAACCTTTTCCTCATCTTCCACAGTCAGTCAATCATCAAATCCCGTTGTCTTCCTTCCCTTATTTCTTCTGCCGTTGTTCAGGTCCAAACCACCATCATCTCTCTTAAATATGAGGTAGCCTCCTATATTCTCCGCTTCCACTCTTGACCCTCCACAATCCATTCTCTTCATAATAGATTTCAATCACTCCCTTGCTTTAAAACTTCCAAATAGCTTCTCGTTGTGCTTAGAATAAAAGCCAAACTTCGTACTCTGAATTTTAAAGGCCCACCTGCCCTGGTTTCTGCCCAACTCTACACTCTCCTCCCTTGACTATTCCCCCTGGCTTACTGTGTTTAACTCACACTGACCTTCCCCCCCCCCCCCCCATCGGACATACCAAGCTCACCCTTATCTCTGCACTTGCTCTGTCCTTGAAACTGTCCCTATCAGCTCCGTTTCACCCAGGTCCCGTCTCTGAGAGGCCTTCCCTGACCATCTCATCAAGATGCTGCCTTCCAAGTCACTAACACCTCCTTTCATTGTTATCCTTCAGAGTACTAATCAGTGTCTGAAAGGTCTTTGTTCATTTATTCGTTTGTTTACTGTCACCGCCTCCCTGGAATTTGACTTCATAAGGGGATGGCGTTGGTCGGGTGCCATGATCCCAGCCAGGGCTCAACAAATACTATACACTGCCCGCCTGCCACTGTGCCCACGGAGTAAATACGGCTACAATCAGCAATTACATTTTTTTGTTTGTTTTTCACGCGATCTAGAGCAGTCAACGAAGAGGAAGTAAAAGTAGGGGATCCAGAAAGGGCCTTTTATCCATGGAATGGCCAATGTCTGGTGTGGCCAGTCAGTAGAGATGTGTCATGACTACAGGCCCTGAGCCTTTTCTTTCTCTGAATCATCTTCTTTCCTGAAAATAGAGTTGGGTCCCGAACCTTACGTTTCACCCTGTTTATTTTATTTTATTTTTAGTAAAGTATCATCCCAGAGCTTTATCTGTAACCGCCCTTCCACCTGGAGTCTCGGGAGACGAAACTTAACGGCCGCCCCCGCCGCGCCAGGCGCGCAGGCGCGCAGCGACGGAACTCGAGGCGCCGAGTCTTTGTAGCGCGCATGCGCAGCCAGGAGCAGCGCGGCGGGAAGCGCCGCGCAGGCGCATTTGTCCCACTCGCTAGGTGGGGAGCCCTCGGAGGCGGCGGCGACCCGGGCAGCTGGGGGGGCCACAGAAGTCGTACTCCCTTCAACCGTGAGTTTCCGGCGGCTTCTGTCATGGCGCGGGAGTGTGAGGGATTAGAAACGAATTCTGGGCCGTACTTCGGTTTTGTCGCAGTGCAGCTCCGTCCCTCCCCCGGTTCGCACCCCCCCGACCTGCGGCGGGAAAGCCACGCGCCTGCGCAGTCGGCCTCCGGTTGGGTCCAGTTTGAGCGAGGAAGGTCCTTCCCAGCTGAGCTCGCGGCCCGCGCTGGCCGGAGGATGCCCATTCATTCCCCTTCGCTTCCTCCGCCCGGCTGTCAGTTCTCCTCCAACTTGCGTGGGCCCTCGGACGAGTCTCCCCACGCTCCCTCACAGTGGTCAAACGATTTCCTCATCCTTTTCCTCGGGCCAAAGCGCCCCCCTCCACCCTTCCCCACGTTCTCCAGCCGGCTGGTGCAGCCCCCCAGCCTCTTCTCACCTCCACCAGCTGCTGCTGAACCCCCCCCCCCCCCCCACACACACACACTGGGAAATTCTCCCTCCAGCCCCCCTGCCGGCATTTCTGGAAGCAAACGGAATTCCTTAGGAATGGCCTCAGTTTCCGTTATTTGGGGAGTTTGGACATGTGGTGCGTTGTAAAACGTTTGCCCCTTGGGAGGCAGGGGCGTTGTTTTAGTGCTCGGTTCAGTGAGTGATCCAAACTTGTCTTCTCCGGTGTTGTAATTTTCACAGCTGCTTTGGTCCCCCTGTGGACGTAATCTTTAGCCGGCATTTTGCATCCCAGGTGTTTGGTGATGGAGGCGTCTGTGGGGATTCAGATGGATGAACCAATGACTTTTTCTCCTCAGCCTGACCGGTTTCAGGCTGATGGCTCTTTGAAAAAAAACGAGCAGAATTTTAAACTACCAGGTATGTGTTTGATTCCCGAAACGTACAGTTTCAAAGTTTTATAGGCAGCAATTGTATGTTTTCGATTAAAAAGCAAAACAAAGCAACAAAACACCTGATTGACTCTTACAGTGAATTGTATGTTTTATAGGAACATTTTACAAAGCTTCGTAAGATCTAGATTTAGGATTGCATTGCATTTAGGAGGATTTGTCTTTTGACAGATGACGTTGCTAAGGTCTAAATATTGGTAACTGTCTAAGAACATCTAAGTTTGTCAATGCCCAAACTAAATTTCTCTTCTATACTAGTGTTATCTCTAGTCACCATATTCCAGTAAGGTTCTATTTAGAAATACACACTGGCGGGATCTTAAGAATTCAAAAGCAGAATTCACTAACAAAAACAAATTACATGTTCGTAGTAATAATAAAGCACTATATCTCGATGTACATCATGAAGTGTGGTTTGACCATAACCCAGACCTTGGGATGAGGAGGAGATGGTCAAGCAGTACCTACTCCTGTACACTAAAATGTTTACCCAGCACCGGGCCTGGAACATAGTAGACATTTATTTGATAAATAGAGGAGCTCCAGGTAATTGTACTTTTTATCCCCTAAAAGATAGCTGAATCTTCTTTTTCATCCTTGTCTTAGGTGAATTTCATGCTTGTCCAAAAGATACTAATTTCGACTTCACGTCCATGAGGTACACAATACCTTAACCCCACCCCAGAAAAATATACATGACATATTTGTCCTTTGATGAAAGCCACTATTAACCCAGTTATCTAAACTTAAAACTTGAGTGTTCTCTTCAGCTTATGCTTTTTATTTGCTCCCCATACCTTGTCACCCAACTTCATCTTTGAAATACATATGGCATTGCGTCCTCTTGCCATTCCCATTTTTGCCACATGAATTCATTTCCTTACACTTTGTTTCTGGATTACAGCATCGTTTCTTACCTAAACGGCCTGCTTTCACTTCTTTTCCATTCTCCAGTTCATCTTGTACATTGCAACTAGAATAATCTTAAAATGCCACTTTCATCCGGTTTCATGGATGCTGTTCATCTTCCCTCTTCCCTCCCATTTTTCTTATGATTAACTGTTTTTCACAGTTCAGCTTTCCTTACTAGTTATTGGACACGGAATATAATAACACAGTGTATTATTCTTCTTGTACTGTTAAACACTCTGTTTTGTTTCTTCAGTTTATGCTATAAGGTCCTTGAAGGCAGTGTTTCCTGTAATCTGACATATGTTGTGACTTAAGCAGAGTGTATGAATGGATGACTATGACTTGGTTTGAACATTTTGCTCAGGAGAATGCTACTCTTCTAGTATTTTGAAAATCTATTGGGAAATAAAGAGTAGGGTGAATTTCATTCCAAATTTCAAAAGTTTTGTAGCCTTTATATAACAGAACATTGGACAGCATTATAAATAGTGCCATGGTAATTTATAAAACATGCTGAAACTTTACTCATCTGGTTCTTTTTTAATATGACCCTTAATAACAACTGAGGTTATATTAAAAAACATGACATGACTTCAATAAGAAGTAGAGTTGATGAGGTCCAGGGACATAACTGTATCTCGATCCAATTGAGAAAGTAAATCAAATTAGGTTATGAGACAATTATGTGCCTGTACCTCATCAGCTTTACTCTTTATTGAAGTTACGTTTTTTCATTGACTGGTGGGATTCTTTTACATTTTTTTTTTTTGTTTTTATTTTTTGAGTTGGAAGCTCATTCTGTCGCCCAAGCTAGAGTGCCGTAACACCGTCACAACTTCACTGCAACCTTGATTTCCTGGGCTTAGATGATCCTTCTGCCTCAGCCTCCCTAGTAGCTGCGGCTACAGATGCACACCACCACATCTGGCTAATTTTTTTTTAATAGAGACAAGTTCTTGCTATGTTGCGTAGGCTAATCTTGAACTCCTGGGATCAAGCAGTCGTCCCCTGGGCCTTCCAAAGTGCAGGGATTACAGGCATGAACCACCATGCCCAGCTTGAATTTTTTATTATTTCTTTGAATTCCCACAACTTAACAGTGTCCAGCATGTACTAGGTGCTTGAAAAGATTTGATTGAATGATTTAACGTAAGGATATGAAGTAAAATGCATTGTGTAGCCGGGCTCAGTGGCTCAGCCTGTAATCCCGCGCCTTGGAAGGCTGAGGTGAGTGGATTACCTGAGCCCACGGGTTTGAGACCCGCCCGGGCAACTTGGCAAGACCTCATCTCTACAATAAATCAAAAGCTAGCCAGGCTTGGTAGCACGCGCCTGTAGTTCCAGCTACTTGGAAGGCCGAGGCGGAAGGATCGCTGGAGCCCAGCAGGTTGAGGCAGCAGTGGCCGGGAGCGGCCATTGCACTCCAGTCTGGGCGACAGAGTGAGACTCCAACTAAAAAAAATAAGTAAAATAAAAACTAAATTGGGATCTATTTCTAATTTCCATTTTTTGCTTATCTATATCTTTGTCTATATCTTGAACATTTTCCATGGAGTTAAATATTCTACAACATAAGTTCCATTGCATAATACGCTATAATTTAATTACCTTTTATTACTCAACCTGTAGATCGTTTTCCATTTTTTCCTATTAAGAAAAATGCTGCAGTCCACAGACTTTCTGGCATAATATTGGGCAAATGTATGTTCTTTAATTGTTTCAGCAAGTTTTTTCTTTTAAGTATCTACTGTATGTTAAGCTTAATAAGTGAAAAAGATCTGTTCAGTGAAAGAATGAAGTATAAACTATTTACATACGGAATGTCTCCTTTATACTGGTGAACTGTTCTAGAAGGCTTGCTTTCTGTGTGTTACATGGGCACCCTTAGCCCATGCTTCTAAAATGGGCTGTAGATACTATCTTGGTGTGCCTAGGACAAATCCGGTTTATGTCTGTTTTACAATGTAATTATTATTATTATTTTTGAGTTGGAGTCTCACTGTCGCCCAGACTGTAGTGCAGCGGCCGCTCCCGGCCACCGCAGCCTCGACCTGCTGGGCTCCGGCGATCCTTCCACCTCAGCCTTCCAAGTAGCTGGAACTACCGGCGCGCGCTACCACGCCCGGCTAGTGTTTTTTTGATTTATTGTAGAGATTAGGTCTCGCCTGCCCAGGCGGGTCTTGAACCCGCGGGCTCAGGCAATCCACTCACCTCAGCCTCCCAAAGGCGCGGGATGACAGGCTGAGCCACCGAGCCCAGCACAATGTAGTTATTATTAGTCTCCTTTCACCCTCAAGATTGCCCCAGTTTGGACTACATTATATTATCCCCTAGTTGTAGGAGGTATAAAGCAAGCAGTACATGAAACCCCTGGGTAAACATGACTGCATTCGTGGAGTGTCGGTTTTACTCCATAAGATAGTGAACATATTTAATTTATGTGATGAATAGTTACTATTTTTTTTAGATGTTTCATGAATACAAATTTTATCGAGCACTTACTACATGCCTTGTGTGACAGCTGGAACTAGTAGCCAGGTCTCTTGTTTTCCTCTTAGCTGAAAACAGGTCCTGTACAATAAGCTAAGGAAATAGATTTTGCTTATCAAAATACAGCCTTTAGTATTTCTGATTTTAGCAGCATTATAAACTTATTACAGCAAAATTAGAAACCCATACAAGAAAAAGAACACAAAATTTACTGCAACCCTCTCCTATCCATAGACAACATGGTGGCTTTCTTGGTCTGTATACTTCCAGGTTCTCTTCTATGCATTGTCATGAACAGAGGCAGCTAGCAAGGGGACAGTAGCACAGCTTTGGGGCCAGTCTGCCTGGATTTCAGTCCCAGCAACCAGTCACCAGCTGTGTGACTTTTGGACAAGTTTCATAATTTTATTATGTGATGAATATTTATTAGGCATCTGTTATGTGCACTTTTCTAGGTGTCCTTGATAAATCAGTGCATAAAACAGAAATCAACACCCTCAATCTATAACCTTTTATAAAAGTAAATAAAAGGAATAAATAACTATGTTCAAAAATGTTTAGTGGTATGGATAAAATGTAGAAGAGAAGGGAAGATAAGAAGTATTGAGGAAGGAGATTGTGATTTTACTAAGTATGGTTGATCAAAGAAGCCTTCAGTGAAGTAACCTAAAAACTTAAGGTGCTGAATGAGTGGACTGTGCAGCTATTTGGGGAAGAACATTCCAGGCAGAATAACTGGTAAGTGCAAAGACCCTGAGATGGGAGTGTGGTTAGCATTCAGGAATAGCAAGGAGTTCATTGTGGCTAGAATGGGAAAGGTGGAGTGAGATCATAGAGAGATGTGTGGAGGAGTGGTTCTTTGACTTTTATATGGAGTGAGATGTGAAATCATTAGGAAGTGCAAGCACAATCATGACATGGTGACATACTATTTGCTGTGTTGCAAATAGACTGTAGGCCAGCATGGATGGAAATAGAGTATGTAGTTAAGGAGGCTGTTGTTATATTAAAACCAACTTGGATATATTATCTAGCAGAGAACAGTTTACTTAAATTTTAAAAATAGAAGCCTAAACCCTCAGGTATAAAATATGGGCATTTAAATAAATTTTTAGCATGTTATGGACTTTTCAGGGTCTTCCCCAGACCTCTGTCTATATTCATTTGTCTCTGTCTTGAGCACTGTTTTCCAGCTGTTAACATGAATGCTCTTTTCTGCTTTCTGCTCTCATTTCCCACTTAGGATTGGAGGATATTGCATTCACTTGGGTCACCAGGAAGTTTTACTGTTGTTTAAAAATGTCATTGCGTTCTGTAATGACAGGAAACCTTAATATATTTTGAGTTTTGTAAAGAGGGGTAAATACATAATAAGTGAGTAGTGGGGTGGAAGCACATTAAACTTACACAGTCATTTATATGACTTGTGCATTGTAGCGTTTTCTTATTACATATACAGGTATTTTCTTTCTGGCAGTTTCTTCATTTTTTTTTTTTTTTTTTTTTTTTTTTAGTTGGAGTCTCACTCTTGTCGCCCAGGCTGGAGTGCAGTAGCATGCTCATGGC